CTACCGGTACGAGGCTGCCACTCGAGAACCTTTCTTCCCCATCGGTTATCGGTTCTTCGAGCTATATGGCCGGCCCATTGCCACTTCAGCTTACTAATCTGTTGGGATATATCGGCCACTCTGGTTTTCGTGTCCTCCCCCTCTCTTCGGACCTCGGATAATCCAATATTATGCCAGCGCAACTTGTCTACCTCTTCTTCCAGCTCCAGTATCTTCTCGTCAGTCCTCAGGGTGCGTGCGTTATATGTTGCCAGGTCGAGTCGTCGTAGGTGGCAACCGAACCTCCACCGGAGATTCTTAGCACCCCCTGCCCCGCCGTTACCATGGTCGCCACCGTAGCCAGGAATAGCGGGGCCGCCGGGGACTGGGCGCCGTCTGTTTGCGTTGTTATTCATGGGAGGATATTTGCCATAGTTGCCACGCTTGGCGACTTGTTGCTTGTTTTTTATTATATCACAGTTGTTATCAGGAAGATGCTGCTGCCCATCCCCTGCCTGTCTCCCTCTGTCGCCTCTTACAAAACCCACGGGAAGATATGAGGTAGTGGATATTCTCAACCGCCACTACACGGCCAATATTTAACATAAGTTAAATACTATTAATTTCAATTTAATTTAATGTAAATGTACTCTGAAATTTATTATTATATTCTCAGGTCTTTAAATGAACTTTGAATAACCGCTATGACCGCTTATAAATACGATGTAAGTATATCCACTACCTGATATCGTCCTGTGAGTGTCGTAAGAGGCGACGGAGGGAAAGGGCCCAGGAGATGGGCGGCAGCGTCTTCCGAATAATAACTAAAAACTGCGGTTGCCAACCCGCTTGCCAAGCGTGGCCACTGTGTCCAATATCCTCCTATGAGCCAATCTATGGGAACGACCTATCTGCAGCAGTGGACCTTTGATAGGCTGTAACGGTGACGGTAACGGTATATATTGTACTCAACTGTGCATTTCTCAGACATGCAGCTTTTAGTCACAATATTTTCCTTCACCGCCGAGCGCGTAGTAACTACACTTAAAATTGCAGTCACCAATTTCATTGATGCCGGTGGGGATCGAATTCAGGTTGCTTGTGAACTGTGAAATTTACTAACTACTTTACTTAACGAGAGGCGTTTAGGCACTTAGTACTTGGCTGTCCTGAGTTACCATGGCTTGAAATAAATAAATTTTAGCTATATTTTAGAAGTATAATATATTCAATTTTATTTCATTGCAAAAATCACTCACGTTTAATAGAAATGCCAACCTTGTTTAAAATTTCAAATTTCCCTATAAACTTTAAAAAATCTCACGTATTGTAACAAAGTAGCGAATTCGCTATTTGTCTTCGTATATAGTCAATAAGAATATTAATATCCTTTAAAACACTGTAGCGGCATAAATACTTTCAATCCAACTTCTATTTCAGTTTGCGGCTGTACTAACCTAGATCTTTGGTTACCTACCGAAGGTACTAGCCCCTTTCTCTTCGAATCCGCAACACTGATACCAGTATCGACTTTCTAACAATAATGCGTACTGATTAATTAGATTCGATTATTATCGTTTCGATTACTCATCGATCAGAACTGATACATTTTCTACCATTATTTACGTTCAACTTGGCATGCGCCTCATCCATTATGTTATGGTTTATCATATTTGCAGAACAAATTGCGAATATTACTTCAGTAGAAGTAAATACATAGCTTTTTACTTGTGACAGGGCATTCCATCTTAGCGCTCAGGGGTGACAAAACACACGCATTTTGATTATATGGACTGTGATGCTCGTTTGTTAGTTTTAAAAATATAAGGCCTTTTTGATATCCGAAATTAACTGATATACATTGGTATACAAATTTCACAACCTAAAGTATTTTCTATTGTACCATCGATGACAAAAAGTTCAACTTTTTGTCATAATAATAATACAGCGAACAAAAACTTGCTGTGATCGCATTTTATTAGAAAGATTATGCGACTTCTGCATTTTAATTACCATTGTTTTATGTTAAGAAAAAAAGCAGCAAGCTTTCTTCTTCTTGCTTTCATCTAAACTGCATTAGAATAGAATAATTTTTTATTCAATATAGATTACATCTAATTCTTATTGAAAGTCATTTTTTACTTTGTCGCTGGTTCGAGAAAAACCTCTGTCCTGCGAAGAACCAGCAAGAAACCCAGCGAGACTTTTTTAAAACAAATTTTACATTGTGAATGGTTACAAAATATTTACAAAATTTATTTTAGAAACAACTTGGAAGCGACCACCGCATTCCCAGGTGTTATTATCAACCATCTATTCATTTATATTATAATAACCCTTTTTTGTACAGTTTTTGTTTAATTAAATATTTCAACTTGGTAATAGATATAAAATTAACCTAAAAACCTTTTTGAAAATACTTTTTAACAATGGCGTTAAATATGTTTGTAGATAAAATATTATAATAGCTACCACAATGTACATTTGCACAAACTGCTAAAGGAAAGATATTTCTCATCAGGTTCATAAAAAGTGAAAATTTAAAAGAAAACTAGATGAAGAATACAAAACATTTTATTTCCCACAGCCCTCTTTTCAAAAGTTTTTACTTCTAAGTATAAATAATTTTACTGTTGGTAGGTTTAACTTAATCACTTTTCAAATGTGTAAAACAGATGAAGAACTAACTATTCGTCTTTTGTGAATGTCAATTTAAAATACAAATCATTAGAAAGACGCTTGTAAGGTTGACGGCTATGACTAAATTTTGAAAACGTATTTAGTGACTCAGCATTGTACAGCAGATAATCTGGATCGAGAAAATGCACATTGCAAAAATACCTCTCTATAAGTATAACAGAGGCAATAAATACATCGGTGAAAGTAAATATTGTTAATATCGTCTTACAGGGAAACTACTTGTCATAAATTTTTCCAGAAATATTTATAGGATACATACTCATGTACCTATAGTTAATTTGTATAGATAACTTTCTAATTCTTTGTATATAACGTATATATTTACATATTTTCTTCAGTACTATTATATATTATTTTCAGATTCGAACATTAAAAAAAAACGAAATTATTTGTATTTATAACAAACAATTTCGGTATAATTTTTAGTAGATGTGTAATTATCTACTATAATTGAATAAAACCTGTAAACGAAGGAATAAAAACTCGCCTCCATAATCTATGATCAACCGAGCCCTTAATGTAGAAAATTAATATTTCTTTTACGATATAGTTTTTCTTCAATGTTGAACGTGAACATGCAAATGAGTTTAAAAGGCTGACTGTCGGTGATTTTACTCGATAATTGCTTAGTTTTTTGTTTGACTTGAACATAATGGAGTTCATTGTTGCTAACGTTTTTGTATCATAGAAAAATAATAAGATTTATGAGAAATGCTTTCAAAGATGAATACCAAACTTGTGAAGCTTCTTATGAAGTTAAAAATTGTTTTCAAACCCAGTCACTTATTGTTGTCTTAAAAAGAAACATTGCTAATAACATTTATATTATAAAGGTCTATTTAAACATAAATCGTTGCTGCTCTAGGTAGTTTTGTTTAGCAGAAATTAAATTATAAATACTTACGATATTTTCGCATGTGGTTAAAATCAAAACATTTTATTTAATCAGAATTTGAAAGTAAAGTGTATTATATGTAAATGTGTAAATATGTAATTTAATAGCATAATTGCTTTTAATTTTGTCAAATATATAGAGTATGTTATTTAGTACTTTTTTTATAAAATAAGGGTGACAAACGAGCACACAGTCCACATGATGGTAAGTGGATGCTGTGGCCTATAGACATCTACATTTAACCTCGATTAAGAATCAAACTGCAGATGCGTTGTCACCCCTGAGGACTAACATGGAATGCTTTGTTTCCAGTAAAAAGGTTCTCCGGTTCTCTACAGTTACCATACGAAACATTAGCTGCTATTATACGTTGGTATTCTGTGAGAGCGTGGTCCTTCCCCGGTCGAGCCAACCCATTCCTGCTGCAACCATAATATAGCTGCACCGTGGCTAATCACGTATGACTTATATGCCCGATTAGAGTACATGCAGTATTTCTAATAATATTAAATAATGAAATTTTAAACGTGGTGGAGCCATGCTGCAGTTATATTAGTAATATAGTTGTAGCACGAATGAGTCGGCTCGACCGGGGAAGGACCAGGCTCTCACATTATACCAGCGTAAAATAGGAGCTTAGTGCTGCTGTGCTTCGTATGTGTGAGTGTAGAGAACCGGAGACCTTTTTACTGGAAACGATGCATTCCATCTTAGTCCTCACGGGTGACAACGCATCTGCATTTTGATTCGTAATCGAGGATAGATGTAGATGTCTATGGGCCGCAGCAACCACTTACCATCAGGTAGACTGTGTGCTCGTTTGTCACCCTTTCCTATTAAAAAAAATTAAAATAAAGTTTTCTCAATGGATAATAGACTCTGCTGCGCTATTCCATTATGTACTTCATATCTCTTCCTTATATTATGTTTCATTTGTGAATTAATATTTTTGTTCAGCGCCTAGATGCTAATATTAGCACTTAAAGTACAAAATCGAGCTTAAAACTAATCTCGAGTTTCACGTATTTTTTTTTATATTTAAGAAGAACAGTTGGTCTCAGATATTAAAATTTTCATTTAAATAATTATATCTTATTTACATATAAGATGTATAAATCGGGGTTAATTATATATATAGTTTAAAAAGGTAACTTAAAAGTTCTTAAAATGTAGTTAGAACTGCTATGAACTGTATAGGGAATAAACCGCTGTGTTAAAATTCCGAACTATTACTGTAGCGGATAACAGGGGTGGTTTCGAACGTAACTACATAGTAAATTGATTAAACTAAGCTTAGATTTATTTCAAAAATGTAGCTTAAAGCTTAAGAAAAGTTGCAAAACACGTCAATAAAATAATATCAAACGCCTTATACGATTATAAAAAAAAACAAAATAACTTATGAGTTAAATTTAATGTAAATAGGTTAATAAATGTTACTGACCTCTTTCTTAGTCTGTTCGTTGATCTTGACGTGCGTTTGCTGTGGTTTATCACGTAAAGGCAGGTAACCCTCACGGCTGTCGGGCTCGTCCGCTAATGTACTCTCCATCACAGTTGTTGACTCTGTCGCTGTGCTTGCTGTTCCAGCATCTGTAGACCGCGGTTCAGGGATACTGGTCGTTGACACAGTTGCTTTAATATTTTCTACAGTTGTTCTAACTGTATCTACAGCGACTGTCTCAGTACTATCGCTGTTCGTATTCAAAGTAGATTCTGTTTCTTGTGTGGTCAAAGTTGAAGCAGTTCGGATTATTGGTCGAATCGAATAGTGCTTTGTCGGACGGGCAGTGGATGTTGTAGGCGCTTTGATCGTGGTTTGTGCGACATTTTCCAACGTTATATCTAGCGTTGTTTTGGAATCAGAGGTTGTGTCCGTGTCAGTAGTTCTGTGTACAATTTTTTTGGTTTTCGGTGATGCGGTTGTGTGTGGTAGCGACGCGGTTAATTTCGATTTGTTACTAGATTTCCGGGCGTTTGTTGTGGAACGTTCTTGAAACGATGTCGTTGTGAGTGTTTCGTCGATAGTTGTTGGATTGGTTTTGGGTGGTGAACGGTCGGCAGGAGGATCGAGATTGGAATTTTTCGGAGTTCTGGAAGGTGGAAAAAAATAATCCATTACGGATGGGGATCGGTTACTGTTGCTAGGTAGCCATGACCAGGGGTTAAAATCTAGAATTCGAGGGCGCGACTGATCGGCCGCGGTGATGGAGAACGCGGCGGCAAGCGCAAGTGCGTGAAACAGTAGTCGAGACATTGCGCGGCGTGCGCGTGCGGCCGCGGCGACGATTCAAGCGGGACTAGTCGAGCGCGCCGCGATGCGACTGCACCAATCCACCACCGCTCATCTACATTAATCCGTCCTACGATCCGCGATACACAGGGATTGCGATCGCATCGGAAAGGAAAGTCCTTTTTATTGAAATACCATTCCACAAGACTACTTCTTATTGAATGCATATAGATTTAGATAAATTGAATACATGTAAACGATATCGTTAAATGCATTCATTTAACTACTCGTGCAATTTTTTTTATAGGATAGGATGACAAACGAGCACACAGTCCACCTGATGGTAAGTGGTTGCTATGGCCCATAGACATCTACATCTATCCTCGATTACGATCAAAATGCAGATGCGTTATCATCCGTGAGGACTTAGATGGAATGCCTCGTTTCCATTAAAAAGGGTCTCCGGTTCTCTACACTCACCATACGAAACACAGCAGTATTAAGCTACTATTTTACGATGGTATTCTGTGAGAGCGTGGTCCTTCCCCGGTCGAGCCGACCGATCCTTTCTACAACTATACTACTAATATAACTGCAGCATGGCTCTACCACGTAAATTGCATCATTAATTATTTTAACAAGTTGAAGTTTTCTTATACGTCTTAATGCATTAGCTAGAAGGTAAATATAATACTTACTTAGCCATAAAATGAAACAATTTTGCAACCAGTCGGGTGTTAGGAACATCGCAGAGCGCACTATTTGGTCACAATCTGATAAATGCCATGACTGATATGGCATTTTAATGTATTTATCCGCTCCATATTTCCCTCGCAGTTATATCACTTTACCGCTATTCAATCATAACCGATGAAATTTGTTGAGCGTAAACTTGAATGCACGTTTGTCACCATATTTTTTTAAGAATAACACTATGATCCACCGCAAACCGTGTAATATTCGTGGCCAGATTACTTCTACACGCTCTATTTAGAACCTTCTTTATAATATTTACTGAAACCGTACAAGAAATCCATAATGGTTCGTATACGATGTACAATTTATTCCATTTAGCAAGTTTCAGTAGCGATACAATAATACGAGTAGGTAGTCTCACCGATGAAGGTCTAACTCCGCGTGCTAGGTAAAATATTAATTTATTAATATATTTTAATTAACATGAGAATCATTTATATGGAATAAAAAAGATGATAATAAACATAAGAAAAGTACATGCTAGATAAAGGATGTGCAGTGTACCAATATAAGGCAGAGACAAGGGACAAAGGCCCCAAACCCAAAAATAAATGTTTCTTTGTTTCATCAAATTGCTGTTTTCATTTTACTTTCCTTCGGCAAATATGTGACATGAATTGCATACATTCGTAAAATTAAATTAAATTCGTAAAATAAATCTGTCCATCGTCACTAAAGTCGTGTTAAATTTTTGGTGGTCTAAGTGAAAATGAAGTATTACGGCTTTATTATTTAGATAATAAATTAGCTAAGTTAAGCGGTTAGTTAGACGGTACGAACTGTGAAATTAAAACGGCGTATATTCGAATACGTCTTTCGCTTCTAATGGAACAATTCTAAAGCATAAACATTTGAAACTTATTTAGTTTTGGCATATATGGTAGAAGGCGGGCCCGATTGACTGTACCCCCCCCTCTCTCCCCAGAATTATTTGGTACGCTTCCGAGATCCCCTGGTGGCCACAAGTTATGTTAAAGAAGTTTAGTTTATATATATTCTGATATTAATAATGATTTTCATTACTTTTTTTATTAAATTCATAATCATCATCATTCACAAGTCCATTACTGAACTAAGGCCTTCCCCAAGGAACGCCACAAAGTACGGTCATGATCCACCTGCATCCATCGACTTCCTGCATCTCTTTCCACACTTCGCTGACCGGTATAATATTAAGCAAAAATGGATCGGCTCGACCGGGGAAGGACCACACTCTCACAGAATACCGGCGTGAAATAGTAGCTTAATGCTGCTGTGTTTCGTATGGTCAGTGTGGAGAACCGGAGACCCTTTTTACTGGAAACGAGACATTCCATCTCAGTCCTCGCGGGCGACAACACATCTGCATTTTGATTCGTAATCGAGGATAGATGTAGATGTCTATGGGCCATGGCAACCACTTACCATCATATCCTATAAAAAAATTAGTGACATCAGTTATTAGGCCCTTGAAATCAAACTCGTTTCTTTTTAATTCAGCCTATTAAAAGTAAACTGCTAAACATACGCTTCCCCCATTGATTGTCTCATAGAAATATTTGCCACAGTGATCGATTGGCAGGTGGGTTTGCAGGAGTTTAGTTTTGAGTTTTTACTACAATAATTCTACTGTTCAACTCGTTTCCATCTATTTCACTCTGTCGTCTCTTGGGATACCAGCGAGTTGATATAAGGTGCATTATTTTCGCCGCCCCTACACGGACTAGAAAATTTATATCCCAGCGTTTGAACTACCGCGGTTTTTTATTTTCTTTTATTCTTTGCAATTACTGACATGTTAACATAGATAAAACCAACAACTATAGATTATTACGTTGTACTTACTGAAAGTAATATATCTTTTACCACTGGTTCCAGAAACTACTTGCGGGATTAGTTATTAAAATATATTGGTTTACAAAATTACAGTCATATACCTATTATAGAATAATCAAAATATCCTATTTTAGTACCAAACGGCTCGCTAGAAGAAAGGTTACACATTTGTTGCGACGCTACACAGGTTCGAATCTCGCACAGGACAAATTCCTCTGTCATGCCGGATTTCCGTCCTGTCAGTTTTTGAGAATGATCCCTCGCTATTATATTATGTTTTTTGCAATTTCGTAATATCTATTTTACCGTATATTTTATTGTAGCAGGAGTGAGTCGACACTACCGAATAGGGCCACGTTCACACAGAATAACAACGTAAAACAGCTATGTAGAACCCTCTTCACTGGTAACGAGGTATTTCATCACAGTCTTCAGGGGTGACAATTCGTCTACATATTGACTCTTTATCTTAATACATTTTTTAAATACTACTGATGTTAATTTTCTCATTATACACTTCAATTGAGCTTGAAATGCCTGTGTTAGCAGTGGTTTACGACAGTAATTGAATGGCAGATTCGAACCCACGACCTTTAAGTATCGTAGTCCGTAGTCCGTACCCTTTTCATCAAGCTACTGGTGCTTAAGATGCTAAGTGCACTTACCATCAGGTGGACTTTGTGCCCGTTTGTCACCCTTAATACTCTAAAATAGTGAAGAAAAAATTGCAAATCCTTAATGCCTATATATAGGGAAAGTAAATAACAACGATTATCTTACTATTGGGACCTAACATAATAATCAAAGTTTTTGATGTAACAAAATTAGAACACATACGAGAAAAAGACCACACTCTCACAGAATACCAGCATAAAAAGCAGCTCAATACTGTTGTGTTTCATACGTTGAGTGTAGCGAATCGGAGACCCGTTTTACTGGAAACAAGGCATTACATCTTAACCCTCACGGGTGACAACGCATCTGCATTTCGATTCTTAATCGAATATAGTTGTAAATATCTATGGGTCACAGCATCCACTTACCATCAGATAGACTGTGCTCATACGTAATCCTTATTCTACAAAAAAAAAGGTTAAAAACGAAATCTCGTACAGACAATAAAACAATTATCGATTAGAAACAAAAGTCTACACTTCCACCGACATTTCATAAAGTATTAAATGAGATAATAACTTAAACGGCAGCCAAAATAAAATCTAGGTCTGTACGTACTTGAAACCATCAAAGTAAAAATTGCCGTCAACTTTGATGATTCGTCTTACAATTACTTTGTGGTCCACTTTTCTAGTGATTTACGAGTCTAAACATTTGCTTTTCGCAACTGAGTAGTTGACACGTCCTAAATTTCTAGGTTCTAGTTACTAACATTTACTTCTTTTCGTCGTATCTCAAAACTTCCGTTTTAAGTAGTCATATTTTTGTTAGGATCTGTAGTAGGTCAGGTGCTAAACGCTAACTGTTACTTTCATAGTAAGCCACCTACCCGGGTTGGATCCCCGTCGGCCCCTATAAAATTGTTTTAAGTTTTGATTTATCACGTAATCGACGGTGAATGGAAGCATTCCGAGGACACCTGCATGTCTAAGATAATCTCAGATCAGATCAGATCTGATCTGATATCTGTAATCTGCATAAGAAAAAATAAAATATTTCAAAGACATTTGAAGTCCGCCAATACGCATTGGAACAGCGCGTCAGCCATTTCCTTGTCCTAAAACCCTCAAAATGAGAAGAGGCCTATGCCCAGCAGTGGGACGTATATATGCTGTAACTATAACTATATGTATTTGTTAGGTATTTTAAAATAACAAAAATAAAAGTATGTTCGTGGTAGAGCCATCAGTTTCCCATATCATGGTTGTAGCACGAATGGGTCGGCTCGACCGAGGAAAGACCACGCTCTTACAGAATACCGGCATAAAAGAGACTTAATGCAGCAGTGTTTCTTATGGTGGGTGTTGATAACCGGAGACCCTTTTTATTGAAAATAAAGCACTCCATCTTATTCCTCAGGGATGACAACGCATTATGAATGTCAATCTTTAATCGAGGATAGATGTAGATGTCTATAGGCAACAGCATCTAATTGCCATCAAATGACTTTGTGCTCGTTTGTAAACCTTATTGTTTATTTAAAATATACGTAATCAGTTTCAATATAAAACAACGACATATTACTGGTATTCCCAAGCAATGTTTTCGATTTAATTTTAATCACTCGTAAAACGTGTTTTGACTAAAGTAGTAACTACTCCATTCATTTCCTAGGTGAAATGCACTATTAGATTCTATTTAGTAATCATATTATGATAGTACACAAGAGGCGCGTTACATGTAATCGTAACTATTATGATGTCCTCTTAATCGACTGACGAACACAACGACAAATCCTGAATAATCTGAAACTATTAACGACGCAGGAAATGTTATAG